AACATTTTGAAAAATGATTTTAAGTTTAGTATTCAGAAGCAAGCAGTTTTATTTTTTAATCTATATCAATCTAAACTGTTCCTTAGCCAACTGTTCCTGGTGAACTGAAAAAAGTAAAATAATCTGCTACTGTGCTATATTCATATATGTTAAATACACAAGTCTGAGCAATACTCAAAATACCATTTACCCAAATTCCAGAGCCAGAAATGGAGCCTGTTACCTCACCACCCTGTACTCAAATCCAAGACAAGGGGCTTTCTCTCCACCCATGTTCAATGAAAAAAAGTGTGTGTTAGATTTGGGTAAATACAATAATATAGTGTCAAGATTAGTCACTCCAAAATAAAGTCAATGCTTTGTTTTTCTTCCATAGCCATATAAAACCTCATTCTAAGGGAACATATTAGGGAAGATTTCAAAACTATATTTCAGCAACTTTTTTTAAAGACTGAATTAAAATAGTAGTAGCTTTGAAAGTGTGTGGGAGAGGAGACAGCATTTTCACATTAGCAGAGGTTTTCAATAAAGACAAGTAAAGTAAATGTTAAACTTATAAATCATGCTTTGGAGATATCTTTCTAAACAAAACTGCACGATACCTTCCATTGCACTGTATAACTCTGAAGTACTAATAGGAATCATGAGAAAACAGGCCACTGTTCTGCAATACATAATGGTATGTATTTACTACAGTAAGGATATGGGATTGTACAACACTTGGCTGGCTAAACATACCTAGGGTGCCGGATGGGTTCATACAGCCTCTGTCAGAGCTGCACTGCTGTTGATACTCAAACTAACTAAATTAAAACTAACTGGGATATGTTGCATCTGTTGCAAGCACATCTCTGGGTGAAGTAGAGCTTTTGAGTTCTACTCAGTTGATTTTATTACAATGTCGATTGTAGGATCAAGACCTATTTTGGCATTAATAAATATCACTTTTTTCTCTCTCTCTCTTTCTCTCTCATATTTCTGCTGAAGATCTTAGATTTTAAGCACTGAAGTTAGCAGCTGCAAACAGATGTCACCCTTGTGCCACCATAAAATTTTTTATGGCAGTATAAAACCCACAGAAGCATACATCCTTGCCCCTTGTTGCAACACAAATGCTCAAAACTGTGGCCACAACAAATTGCAGTACTAGTTTGTGCTACTTTCTCATGGCAGATATCAGTTTGCTTATGAAGAAAGAGTACAGACAGCCCAAGACTGCCCATGCTCTCCAGCCACCCTGGACAAGAGCTCCTGGAGCTGCAGTGGCCTAGTCCTGCAAGAGGATTTCCAGGACACATATCTGCAAAGGGATAACATACTGGGGGCATTTGCCCATAGGGGTTTCCCCCCTCCACACTTGCAGATGCACACGCCAGAAATCCCTCTGCAAGGAATTTCAATAGCATATGCATGTCACTGCAGCACCCCAACACTAGATGTGACACCGAGAAACAGTTTCCTCACAGGATGGGACCCCGAAGCCACAGAAACAGCAGGGATCCAATCCTGAGGGACAACGGCCCCAGGTGATACCTGTAGATTGCCAGTGAAGTGGTGCACCATTGCCAGGACACATCTTGGCCCAGCTGATCCCACTTCAATTATTATGTTTGCTTTTAACCACCTGCACAATTGTTTCTTAAAAATGAAACAAAAACCCCTTATATTTTCACGTAATTGAAAATATAGTTAAAAGATGCAAAGGAAGCATCATGACAGAATGGTGGATCTATCACACTAGCTTCTATTTATATTATCAGAAGAGGACTCTGTTGTCATTAGAACTCTTATTATTAATGTTCAAGTTCAGTCTAAATTCAGGAAGTCCAAAATGCTGTTATTGAAACACTGCAGATTCAAAAGTTTGGCTGAACTGGTATTGGATTCAGGATGTATTTTAGAAGACAGCAGGGAATATCATGGTCCCACATTCAACAACAAAGTCTGAATGGGTTTTTCTTTGATATGTAAAATAGTATTCTTTTAACTCCATTATCTTAAAGGTGGTAGGGAGAGATGGGGGAAATTCATATCAGGTTTTCCAAATGCAAGATAAAAGTTTTTAGGGTCTGCAAACCTCCTAACTGCACAAGGATCTGCTATGAAATTATTCCCTCTATTGCTCAGAGACTGCTAGCATTGAAGCCCATGGGAGCGACACCCCAAGACAGAATTTGGTTGTGTATCAATTTATAATTTTACAGATTAATGTTATTCTCAGTATGACAACTTTAATCTGAAACTAGATACAAAATATCACCTTGGTGTACATGCAAGAACTCATTTTGCAACATTTTATAGTAATGCATAACTGTTTGTCTGAGTCAAGCTGAGTTTTATATTAAGTACAGAGATGCTTGTAACTAGCAAACATTCAGTGCAAGAACAAAAACACATACTCGCAGCATATGTACTGACCACTTATTCATATAAACCACATATGCGTAGTCAAGATGAACAGAAAAAAGAAATTATATTGTTTATTCAGTAAAAGCTTCACACACCAGAAGTTGTCTCATGATGACTAATATGTCTACGCTATTTTATTTTTCTTTCTGTATGGATGCTAACTTTGGTAAGGCTTATGATTTTAAAAGCTGAATATTTCACTATTTATCATTTTATATTGACCCAGGTCGCAACATAAGGATCTAAATTTCTCCAGTGTTTGGAGGGAAACTGGAGGAAGGCTTGGCTTCACCATATGATTTTAATTTCATTTTTAACAACTCTTTATCATAAAGTACTCCAAGGTCAAAACTGACTTGAAAATGTATCCTTTAATATTCAAAGAGAACAAGGAATTTCTTTTTAATGCTTACCTCTTTACTTGTGTTCAGAGTGACTTCTGAATACACTAGCCTGAGTATTCACTATCCTGCCTAAGATATTAGGGGACAACATTGGCACAGCTCTATGAGTAGAGCGACTATATGTTTTAGGCAAACCAGGGCACTCCTGGCTTCTATAGTCTGGTTCCAGCTGGTTAGAGCAGCACCAGGTAGGCAAGCAGGCAGGCACTGCTGCTACTGGGTAGGAGCAAGGCAGGCAGACTGGAGCAGGGTGGCTTGCCTGGTACACCATGCCACTCCATGTCCCTGCTGGACTTCACTCTGGCACTTTTGACCAACTGGCCAAGACAAGATTACAGAAGCCCAGAACGTATGGTCACTCCATCTATGAGGCTATTATGCAACTTCTTCTGCATGAGTGAATATCCTCTTCATCACTAGCTAAGCATAGAAGCCATCTTGTCAAACATAAGACAAAAAAGGACAAACAGGACAAGAAGACAATCAGCACCTAGAAGGCTGAAAGTTTCAAAAACAGGACTCTAGCAAAATGCAAGTAATCCATGCAGATGGGTAAAATGTTATCAGAAAACCTTCAAAAGCATGACTATATAACCATTCCTTCTACCTTGAGCCCAGCCAAAACTCACTGACATTTTATTTTATCCAATAATTACTAACCAGATCTACTCTCTTTTAAAGATCATGACTTGGGTAGAAGTGCACACACTCACTCACTCTCACCAGTCCATCATTGGAGCATGGATTTGGAAGAATATAAGGTGACCTACATACTAATACTAACGTACTACGTTAGTCAGAACATTTACAAATGCCCCATTTGCCAAAAACTGCAATTGCTCAGAAAGAATTAGAAAAATAAAAGTTTCCAAAAGATTCTAAGCCATAAAGCAGATTTTTACATTTGCTTCTACAGTAGGCAGTAAAAATTTTATATTAATTGCTACCTCAGTGGCAAGGTAGGCATAACAAGTAGGTCCATTATGAAAACTGTCTAATGAAGAAGGGTCCAGAGGAAATTAGCTTTCAAAGACAAGTTCTGTTGCAGTCTACATACTATGCATTATACTTACAAAACTAAAAATCTTAAGCTTAAGCCATCCAAGAATGTACTATAAGTATGTAGTATATCATTATGTCAGTTATGCACACTTTGACATTCCATTTCTACATTACATTAAGACCAAAATGGAGTTTTTGTCCTCTAATCCTTTTAAATATATTCAACAGAGAAACAGTGCCACCTTTTGGCTTGATAGATAAGCCTCCCTACTGCAATCCACAAAATGTTTTTCCCCTGAAAAACATGTTCTTAAAGTATGATTTTTTTTGTGATCTTATTTTAACTTAATGTGATAGTCGAACTTCTTCAGAAAAAAAGTGTGTGAAATGTTAAATGGTAAGAAAACAAAGTGTTTTCCTCACTGAATTAAATATGTGCACAAAACTACATGATTTGAGATTCTCTCTTCAAATGCTACATTAAGCCATGTATTTTTCCCACTCTACTATAGATCCATAATTATAGTTCAACTGATCATTTTAATTTGGCTATAAAGCCAAAACACCTTACCTCAAATGTCTGCTTTCATGGCAGTTCTTATACATATCTACATAATACCACATAATACTTGGCATTATGCTCCCTTCAAGCAAACACATGATAATGAACCCTTTGAAGATCTTCATATTGCCAATTGACAGTAATGCATTTGTGACTCATCCTATCAATTTTCTGTCTAGCTTCGTTGCCTACATCCAAAAATATATTAGCACTTTAGAGATGAAACTTATAAAGCTGATGGCTTGAGCTTTACATATGTATGTACTGAAATGTATTTGAAATTACTTACACCAAAGACACAATATCTCCACGTTGTACTTCATAATTCCTAACACTCCAGTGGTTTAAAAGCACCACATCAGAAGCTTGTCCTCCACCTGGATTCAAGGAAGGCTACAAAGACAGAAAGAAAGTACAGCTTTATGTTAAAAGTAACAAACTCAATATTTCCCTTATTCCTTTTATCTTCTCTCTCATTGTATACGTGGGTCAAATCCTGGTCCTGTTAAAGCTAATTCGGTCATGATCTGATCTACTCAGAAGAAGGTGTTCAATGGAAACTATTTATATTAATTGTTGATGGCTAGTGAAACATTACTTATTGGGTGTATCTACACAAGACACTACATTGCCATAATGCTAAGCTACAGCGACAGAGTGGGCAAGTACAACACGTGATGTCGACATTACTGCACAGTTCAGTAGGGTCAGAAATGACCTGTGCACTGGCAATTACTGCACAGTCACTTAGTTCTTGCTTTAGCAGTCTGAATTACGTGTAGATGCACCCATTAAAAGTCAAATACAATGAACATTTTTCAGTACACTACAACATGAGCTACTGCAATTCCAGTGAACTTGTGCTTAAAACAAACTTGTCCAAAAAGCATATAAGAATCTTTAGTCCTATTACTTACCAGAATAAAAACAAGTATCCTAGCTCCAGCATAAAAACAAAAGCAGCTGTTCTAAATACTTTCCTATCAAAATAAAATGCATTAAGACAATAAATCACCATTCATAAACTAGGTACATACTTTCTAAAAGAGGTTAAGGAGCATGAGCTTTCAAAGCAACATTGCCAGTCAGTTAAACAGGACTCACATGCCATACCTCAATAGAGGACTGTAAGCTTCTACTTTTAAAGAGAAGAGAGAGGGGGAAGGGCAGGGTTCAATGTGCCTGACATGCAGATTTTGTAAAGGCCAAAATATCATAACATGCAATCATCTTGGTTTTGGCAAGCAGGTGAGGGAAGATGAGTAAAAAACACAATTTCACCATGACTTTTGGCCTTTGTATGAGTTAGCTCAGTACATAGACGCACACTTTTCATTAGGTTATTTACAATGCAGACCACAGCTTGCAATGCAGAATGGTCACAATTCTTACAGAGCTGTTCCAGAGTGTTTCATGCACCACTTCTGAAGTCTTTACTGAGATCTACTAACACAGTCTCTTTGAAAGATTTAGAGTTAGGTGGCACATTCAGTGAGGCAGGCATCAGTCTCATAGAACCAGTGACTTGAGAGTTTAAAACTGTGCAAATTCTTATTTGTTAATGGAAAATACAGAGTAAGGTGGCACCTTAGAGACTAACTGGTTCACAGAGGCATGAGAAATGGCCTACTTCATCTGACACTATGAAAACTCTAGCAGAAAGAGAATGTGAGGGAAAGAGAGGGGTTTGCATCGAAAGGAAAGGGCTAGGGGGAAAGGGGACACTTCTAAGACAGGTAAAAATGTGTTTGGTTGTGTTAGTTGAAGTGAACATGCTGCTGTTTCCCAGGAGAAATCATAACTGTACAGATATTCAGGCTTTTTCTCTCTCAGGGCAAAAATGGCTGCTCCAGGAGAAAAATAACCTGGGATCAACCAGAGTTAAATCACTCCCAGGAGACCTGGGAGAGTGAATGTCTGTACACAGAATCATAAAAAATTAGGATTGGAAGGCAGGAGGTCATCTAGTCTAATACCCTGCTCAAAGCAGGACCACCCTCAGCTATATCATCCCAACCAAGGCTTTGTCCAGCGGGGTCTCAAAAACCTTCAAGAATGGAGATTCCACAACCTCTCTGGCAAACCTGTTCCAGGGTTTTACTACCCTCCTAGTGAGAAAGTTTTTCCTAATATCTAACCTAAACTTCCTGTGCCCATCTCTGTTTGATGACATGATCCCATGCTGCCTTTGACCGGGCAACTGGGCTTACTAGCCTGGGACTCTCGTGTAGACCCCGGAGGACTCCTCAATGACTCTCAGGTGACCCCCAAACTCGCCTGCCACGACTTCAGATGGTTCTTCAGTGGAGGGGGTCCCCTCGGAGGATGCCTCCAGAGTTGTCACAGGTCTCAGTGGATGGCTATGTGGCTCCAACCCCGGCCATGCACCACCCAATGAAACGGGCCTCAGGATCTTTTCAACTGGCCCCTTTGGATGTCTTCCCCAGTTCCCTCGTCCTGCTCTACAGGCTGGCACCTTGGACTGTAGCCAAAGCCAGAGGGCCTGGTGATGCTCGGTCTCCAGCACTATCCCTCTCGACGCCCCATGCATTCCAAGGCGGATGTTGTTGGTTGTCACTGCATTCTCATGTGGTCTCCCGTCTCCAAGTGGTGTCTCTAATCCCCCGAGCCTGGTATAGGGTGCCAAGCTACCCTGCTCTAGACTAGGACCAAAATTAAATCTAACTGTGAAAGAAAAACATGAGCTGACCGCTCACCCCCAGAGAAGCCCTGCACCACAGGAGCCCCAACGTAACAAAAACCAAAAGAAACTATGACAAAAAAGGAACGCAACAAGTGAGAGACAAAAGGAAAAGCAAAGTAAAGAGGGGCACCCATGGGGAGGAGCCCCATGCCCCCTTCACCCCTAGGCCGGCGCATCCCCTGGGCTGGGGTGTCTCTGATCCCCTCCGGGATCCACTTCTTCCCTAAACTGTGGCACCTGCCGACCCCCTGCTGGGTCACCTGATCCCCACTGGTCTTTCCCAGCATGAGGATTTCCTCCAATGCCTACGGCCAATGCTGGCTTCACTACCAGCTCCTTTGATCTTCGCCAGTCTTCCCCGGCAAAAAGATCCTCCACGGCCCCCTCTACCACCACTGCTGCCGGCCTCCTTGCCAGCTCATTTGACCTTCGCCATTCTTGCCCAGCACGAAGATCCTCCATGGCTCCTTCTGCCGCCACCACAGCTGTTGGACACGGCAGCTGGGCGGGCCCCACACAGCAGTTCCCCACCGCTCCTCCTATGCTCCACGCACCCCCGCTCATGCGGCCATTTTTTTTCTTCACCAGGTGATGTCTCTTCCTGACATCACCCGGCTCCAGCTGGAGATAAGTGCGGCTGATAAACCACGTGGGCAGTTTTCCCTGGTGCGCCTCCTCGCTACCCTGGACTCCTGCAACAGGTAGGTTTTTTTCTATTCTTACTTCCCCCTTAGGTCTGCCTCTGAGGCTTCCCCTTTTGTCAGTCCTGCATCCCTGGGACACTTCCCTTGAAGCAACTTAAGACCATTGCTTCTTGTTCTTTCATCTGCCAGAAATTGCTGCAAGTCAGTTAACACTTTGAGAAACATTCAAGTTAACAGCTAGTCCAGGCAATGGGATAAAAAAGTTAGTCCCCATGGAAACTGTTTAACATCATCCAGGCTGTGAATGGTTTCTTGTTCCATAATTTCATGTTCAAATGTTATATAATTTTGCATGTATAGAAACTTATTAGTAGAAGGTAGTCTTAAAGTCATCTTCCCAAATGCTGTGCCAGGGAAAGCAGCAGCAGGGAGACAAGGGACCAGACCTGTGACTACCCGCCCTTTGCCCTCCCTGTCTGCTCTGTCTCCCCTCCCAGCCTCTTGCCTCCCTGTGCCTGTCCCTCCTGCCACTTGCACCCATCGGCCCTGACCTCCTGCTGCCTGACCTCTGTCATGTACCCCTCCATGCCTCTGCCTGCCTCCTGTTCCTGCCCCCACTCCTTGCCCCCATGCCCGGGTTTGCCTCCCTATTCCGTGCCGCCCTTCCCCCCATCCCTAACACTTGCCTTCTGCTGCAGCTCTGCTCCTCTGGGGCAGTCAGCTGCAGTGGCAGCCCACAATCCAGCCCCAGCCCAGCTCAACCAGGGACAAGTGGTGACAGCTCCTGGCCAGGTCAGATCAGGGCTGGAGCTGGAACAGTAAGTAGGGATGAGGAAGCAGATGGGGGGCAGGGGAGTGGAAAGCTGGCTGTGTGGTCTCACCTTGCTCTTCCAGCTGTGAGTTACATCCCCTGCCAAATGAAGCATCCTGGCCTGGGGCAGGAAGCAGCTCAGCTCCAGCTTCAGCTGGTGGCTGAAGCCAGAGCTAAGCAACTGCCTGCCCTGGTCTAGTACTCAAATCTAGGAAGTGGCTTTTCCCCCCTGCCATTGTTATTGGGAAGAAAACCTCATCTTGGAGTCAAGTAAATATGGTAGATCTTGATCAGTAGCAGAAAACATTTTAGAGACCATTTTATAAATATCCTGAAATTTAAGACTATATGGACCTTGCTCTCCCAAAAATTTCATAAAACAATCATTATTCGTTCTGGAGATATATTCCCCCAACCACACTGGGAATATCTATGTTGACCATGAGAAATAGGGGTACTTGAATACATCTCAAGGTGCATGCAAGTGTTTGAATGTTTCAGTGGATATATAGCTGTTTAGTTTGTGAAGCTGGAAACTCTACCAGTAGAACACTATACAAGCATTAGAGGGCCTGCCCAGATGCTCTGCAGACAGTCTGTGCTACCAGTGGCACCCAGCCAGGGGGCCCCAGTGTATGCAGGCTCTCCTGTCTGCCTGGAGACAACTGACAACATCCCAGGAGACAGGTCAGGACTGGCCACCCCATGAGACTATGCCCTCTCTTCATATAACACCCCTTCCCTCTCTTCCAACTGCCAGGCTAAGACAGCAAACACAGAGCCTTACTGCACAGTAAATTTAAGCCAGTGTAAATACATATGTAAACACACCCAGCAGGACTGCAGGCTGGAGCCCTGCAAGGGAGACTACACACCGCCACAGGTGAGCTACCATGGAAACCAGGCAGTGAATCAGAACAAGGGGCACCTGCAGACAACCCCATAGAGTCACCTGACCAGACAGGGGAAGGGCTCTGGGCATACAGATCCTAACCAGAGCCTAAGCAAGGCAGTCTAGTCCTGTAAAGTGGACTGCTGAGCTGCCTTGGGGATTACCAGCGACAGTCAGAGAGCTTACAGCGATACATCCCAGAACTAAGGGGTTATGGTGATACCTATTCAATGTTGCCCCAAGAGTTTGTTTGACTATGCCAAGGTGGGGGAAGGTTTTCCTTCTTAAAGGGGCAGTGTGCTGTTTTTCCTTTTGTTGATGGGCCCAGAAGGGAGTTATAGT